CCATCCATGTTGTTGCAAATGATAGGATTTGTTTTCTTCTTATGGCTGAATAATATTCCATTGTGTATATGTACCACATCTTCTTTATCCATTCATCTACTGATGGACACTTAAGTTGCTTCCATTTCTTGGCTATTGTAAATAGTGCTGCAATAAAAATAGGGGTGCATATGTCTTTTTCAAACTGGGATGCTGCATTCTTAGGGTAAATTCCTAGGAGTGGAATCCCTGGATCAAATGGTATTTCTATTTTGAGTTTTTTTTTAGGAACCTCCATACTGCTTTCCACAGTGCTTGAACTGTTTTACATTCCCCTTTCTCTGCATCCTTGCCAGCATTTGTTGTTCCTGTGTCCAATCTGCTTTTAATCCATTCACTGAAGTTTTAAATTTTAGTTATTTTCACTTCTACAAGTTGTGTTTGGCCTTTTTAGATATTATTCTTTGCTTCTGCTTCCAAGCTTTTATTTCCTTAGTCATAGCATAATAATTTTATAATCTGTGATAATGTCAGTGTCTTAAGTCTGTGAATAGAATTCTGTTTTTTCCTGCTGAGTCTTCCTTTCAGGGGCTTATTTCTTTACTAGGTTTTACTGTGAGCTGCTGATTTTCCATGAAGCTCTGTATGTTGAAATTCTTTGGGGTCTGGGTTGAAGGTGGGTTTCTAAGAGAGGAACCTGCATTTGCTTCTGGCAGTTAACTAGAAACACTCTAGAATCACTTTTAATTAAATTCCCTGATTAACGTTATTCTGACCTGTAGGTATTGAGGATCTGGACTGCAAATCCAGACCTGAGAGCTAGCTGGCTTATGGTTAAGTCTCAAGGGTGAGTTTTTTTTTCTCAGCTGCCTAGTAAGGTCATAATAAGCTAGTTTTCTGGCTTCCCCTTCTGACCTGTAGATTTATTTCTCATTTTTGCTTTCAGGAGAATGAGATTTTTTTTTTAGGAATCAACTTTATGCAGGACCTTCTTTTGGACTAGTCTTCTTGGAAAGCCATTAGGGTCTATCTCCTATGTTCTGCATTTCATGTAGCCATCTGGACAGGAGGTCAGGGTTCCCAGAGTTTAACAGACCCCTTAGTGCAAAAATCAACTTGCTATGTCCCAGGACTGTTACCTTCACTTTGTTTTTGAGCTATATAGAATCCTACCTTTAATTCCAGTTCAGTGATACATTTTAAAAGATGTTTCAGAAGTTTAGATGCTTCAATTGAGAAGATCATACAGGATTTCTAGTCCCATTGCCAGAAATAGAAATCATCCACATTGTTTTCCTAGTCTTTGGTGGATGAGTGGCTGGATAGCTACAAGCAAGACCAGGATGCAGGATTCCTGGAGCTCATTAACTTTTTCATCCAATCTTGTGGATGTAAAGGTGAGTAAACTATCCCTTTCTAGTGCTTAGCCTTTTGCACCTATGTTACGAAACGTCTCCTCCATTGAAATGAATGGGATTTGGTGTTTCCCAAGTAAAAGGAGAAGGTAAAGCATAAAGAAATTTTCATGTATGTAACTACATTGTTTATTGGTAAATAGGTAAGTGATCTGGGGGGAATTACATGGTTTGGAGACAGGACCCTTTGTGGAAAAATAATTAATCATGCTACTGTGATAAAAGTGATACTCACATATTTGAAAATGACCATCAGATGCCTTAGCCTTCCTTCCTCTAGATAGAATCATCTTTTATCTTCTTATTCCTTATTAGTCACCTCATCCTATATTTCTCCACTGAAACTGTGGGTGCCCATATCCCAGAGGCTATGTATGACCTAATTTATTGGGGCAAGATAGTCTCAGGCAGGTGGTATTATAAGAATCTACAATCAGTATAGTTTTATTGCTTTGTTTTTTGGTTTGGATTTTTTTCCACCATTGTTTTCTACTGATTGATTACTTTGGATTTTCTAGAGAGGTTGCCTAACAACAGATATACAAGTTAGATGGCGGCAGATTTATGACAAGGATTCAGGTCTCTGGGATATTTCAGTATATTCCCTACCTTGCCTTTAGATGTATGTGTAAATGGTCATAGTGTCGTGTTATGTTCCTTTTAAGTACCTCATCTTCTCCATTCTTCAGGCACTGTGACCCGCGAGATGTTCAAGAAGATGTCCAACTCTGAGATCATCCAGCACCTAACAGAACAGTTTAATGAGGTGCAGAAAGACAATCAGGATCTTCTTGCCACTCTTATTTCAAAATACAAGGCCCATTATCCCATTTTTTCTAAATCTGGGAAATAGGGTAGCTTTTGGAAGGAGGAGTTCAGTCTCCTGGAGGCAAATGGGACCCATAGATATTATCTGAATATGCCTGTAGAGTTAAAAATAGCAGGAAATTGAGGGATAACAGAGGTACATTTTTACTCTACTATTGGGTTTTGATGTCCAAAGTCCTTGTGGCTTCATAGACCTGGTGATAACTTTCCCCATCCTTTTCACAAACCCCTAGGACTCAGGAGACTATCCCTTGACAGCTCCAGGTCCTTCCTGGAAGAAGTTCCAGAGCAGCTTCTGTGAGTTTGTGAAGACATTGGTCTATCAGTGCCAGTACAGCCTCCTCTATGATGGCTTCCCTATGGACAAGCTCATCTCCCTGCTCACTGGCCTTTCAGACTCCCAAGTCCGTGCCTTCCGTCACACTAGCACACTGGCCGGTGAGCACTAGTTTTTACAAATGTATAAAAATACTCATTTTTATAAATTTTATAGATCTTCTGGGATTTGGTAGGACTTTCCTCTGTTCTCCAGTCCTGGATCTTCTTTCCTACCTGCATCTTAGCTCTTTACTTCAAGGCCATGCTGCTTTTATCCTGAGCCTTGGTCCAGTTTCTCACTAGTGGAATTGTAAATGGGTGGATTACAGTGACAGTTTCCAGCCTTAGCATGTTTCTCATAGCTCAGCACTGGGAATATGCTGAGGATTACAAGAAGCCCAAAAGAGTTAGGGAGGAAAAAAGTCCACTCCAGAACAGTCAGTCTTAGGATTTTAGGTTCACCCTGCTCTAGCTTTTCATTTTCACTGCCCTGTTCTTTCTTTTTTGAGCCTACCCTCCCTCCTTGACTTCAGTGATGATTCCTTTATCTTTTTTCCCTGACAAAGCCATGAAGCTAATGACCTCCCTGGTAAGAGTTGCCCTCCAACTGAGTCTGCACAAAGACAACAATCAGCGTCAGTATGAGGCTGAACGAAACAAGGGGCCAGGACAGAGAGCACCTGAGCGGTTGGAGAGCCTGTTGGAGAAACGCAAGGAGGTGAAAACCAGCCCTGCCCCTTCCCTCCCTCCCAGCTCATCCAGTGCCAACCCCTCCCGGCCTCATCCTGCGTGGATCCCAAGCACTTCTCCCAGTTAGGTACAAGCCCCTATGCGACCTTGCAGGTTGTGAATGATGGAGTCTGGCAATAGTTTAGCAGACCTGTCCTTCTCCCAGAGGTCATTGCATGCTCATCTTGTTTCTGGGATATGGGCACAGTAAATCTAATTTAGAGTAAATGTTAAAATTCTCTCTAATTCCACTTTTGCTCAGTTTCTGTTGTCTACATTCATTATCAGAAGTGTGTAAGTATTGTGCCTGCATCTTGTGCAAGGAGTTCAGTTTTGACTTTGGATACTTTGTCAAGTGCAGAGTCTGCAGGTCACTACAGGAGTACTAAAGACCCCCACTGACAAGGGAGGCCAGGGTTTCAAGGAATGGAAAGGGCACAGGCCTTTCACTCCTGGATTTTAATTCTGTTCCAATTAGCTACTAGCTCCATGGCCTTCTGTAGCCTCTGAGCTTCAGTTTCCTTCTCTTTAAAAGGGGGATAATTGTACCATTTGTGAAGATTAAATGAGATGAGTGAATTGCCTAACTTGGCACATGGTAGGTACTTCCTGTGTTTCTTAACAGAATCTTTCATGCTGATTAAACCTTTAAGCAGCTGGGTCTGTAGTGAGACTAGCACTGATTCCCCACCACACACCCTCTCTTAGTATCTGAGACTCCCCCACCATGAGGCCCACGGGATTTCAGACCTGACTGAACCAGTCGGCTGCTTTCCCAGCTTCACCAGAGGTCTCTTCCATGATCAATTATTAGAGAAGGAAACCTACTTCTATCCTCTTTTGCTATTTTTAGTATCAGTATGATCTTGTATGTGTTAGGTCTGTTTCAGACCTGAAGTAGATATGCTAGTGTGACCTGTGTTTTGACTTCTTTGTGCTCTTCATCAAATACCATCCCCCTTTTTGTCTTTTATCTCTCCCTCCCCACTGTTTCCTCTCTCCGCATATAAGCGTTTATTGGCCCTTGACTTTTTCTTCACTCCTCCACTATAAACTACTCCATTTCTATCCTTCCTATTAAGTATTTCTTTACTGCCTTAATGTCCAACCGAACAGTTTTTGCTTTCTAGCCCTTATCCCCACTTTTCTTTGAAATTACTCTCCCAGACCAATGACTTCATAATCCCTATAGCCATTGGCCTTTTCTCAATCTTCCTTTTCCCAGCTTCTGTAGAATGTGGTACTGATGACCTACCTGCCTTGCCTCCTTCCCTCCCTATCCTTCCTTTTCTTTTAAATATGAAATTTTTCAAACATTTAGAAAAATAGGGACACTGGTAAAATGAACACTATATACAAATTAAGTTTAACAACTAATATTTCACCATATTTGCTTCACCAATTTTTTTTTCTATTTTATAGTAAATTTCACACATACTGGTACTTCAACCTCAGGATTTAAATATGTTCTCTAAAGAAATATAAAACATAGATACTCTAAAAACTATCGCTACATAATACCATTTTTATATCCAAAAATAGTAACAATTTCCTAATAATAATTTTCTAATACCAATTAATATTTAAACTTCCCCATTTGTCTCCTAAATACATTTTGTATCTGTTTAATTCCAATCAGGATTTGATTAAGGACTATGCATCACATTTGGTGGTTGCGCTTTTTTGTCTCTTTCAATGTTACATGGAACCTCTGCCTCCCTCCATTTCTCCTTAAGATATTGATTTGTTGAAGAGGTAGGGTTGTTGTCTTTTAATTGTTCCCTCATAAATCTGGGTCTTTGTGATGCTCTTTATAGTCGTGCTTCCTTGGTATCTGTTACTCATCTAAGCTGGGGTTCCTCGGCCATGGGGCTGTCATGGCATTGCGGGACGTTTACCAGCATCCCGGCCTCTGTCCATTAGATGACAGCAGTGCCCTCCCCAAAGTGAGACAACCAAAAATGTCTTCAGACACTGCTCAATGTCTCCTGGGGGCCCCATATGAGAACTGCTGATCTCATCTCTTCATTCTCTTTTTTTGTTAGTGCCATTCCTCCTATCAAACACAACATTTATTTAAGAATTTATTTTCTCAATTATCATTTGTCAAAAACATGTAACTACCACCTAGGACTTTTGAATAGCCAAAGATAACCAAAATAACCAGACAGAGGGGATATTTTTTCCAAACCCAAACCTTTGAAACGTTAGTTAACTATACAACTTTTTCCAGAATTAGGTTTAAAAGGGAACATAGGATATCAGGGGCTCAGACTGAGCCCTGTAATAAATAGGAAGTCGGTGGAAGTTGTACTTTTGCATATTCTTGTGGCTTTATGCTGTTGGAGTACAAGGGAGATTGACCTATTCCTCCCTGTCCTCCAGCTCCAAGAGCATCAAGAGGAGATTGAGGGAATGATGAATGCCCTCTTCAGGGGTGTCTTTGTACATCGGTATAGGTGAGTGAATGGGCTCCTCTCATTGAAACAGCTGGTCCCTGGTTGTTGAATCTCTAAAAATAACAGAGCCCCTTCCTAATTCTGAGTTATTTGGTTAGTCCTAGAGCTAATGCAGCTGGAATAAAAACTCTGACAACAGATGTTTCAAATTAGTGAGGTTTAGTTTGTCCCCACCTACAAAGGATCTTATAAGCTATGCTGGGAGAGCAAATAAGAGGATAAGGCATTGCTGAGTATTCTTCTGCTCCAATTTTGTCCAAGACGTCCCTTTGCCCATCTTCCTGGGGCTGGGGACTGGAGAGGACAAGAGCAGAGAGAGAGCCAAAAGGCAGGGCTTTTCTGAGGGTGTGCAGCATGGCAGGCCTTTTAATCGCCCAGCCTGCTGTGTCACTGCTGAAGGCAGGGGAGTTTTATACTGTGTAAAGAATTGGTAGGATTAGGTTACAAAGAACATCTATATTTGTTTTTCACTCTTACCTAGATTTTAACCTCTGCCTGTCCAGAACTCTTCAGTGATTTAACCTTTTTGGGGAGTTAAAACACACACACGTTTGGTTAACAGTTAAATTGACTTCCAAAATCATTTTTTAAGAGTGGCATGGAAGATAAAATTCAGCTATGTTACAGGCTGGTTACAGAAAGAAAATGTTTACTTTTTTATATATTGTATTTACGTTGGGAGGGGGAAGTGAAAGGCATGGCACATAGTATTCTATTAAGAAAATAGATTCTTCTTTGTTGGAGCTATCTGATAGAATAGATGGCGAGTTTGGAGAGAATGTGATAGGGGTCAATTTATCTCTCTGTCTAGGGATGTCCTTCCTGAGATCCGTGCTATCTGCATTGAGGAGATTGGGTCTTGGATGCAAAGCTACAGTACCTCTTTCCTTACTGACAGTTATTTAAAATATATTGGCTGGACCCTGCATGATAAGGTGAGAGTTGAGGCTGTCTGGTCTCCCCTGTTCCCCTTCTTCACTTCTCTGCCCCGGGACTCTTTGGTTTTTCCTCGTCCTGCCACTTTGGTGTTTCACTAGTGATGATCCCATCAAGGCAGTGAACCTCACAACTCCCCCAGTATTGGGGGGGAGTAGGATAAGGTAGAAAAGAGAAAGACGTGTCCAGAGAGGAAACACCTCAAAACCAGGGTAGAGAAGAGAAAGACTTAACCTCTGTAAAAGCAAGAACATTATTGATGGATTGGTAATGCAACTGCAAGGGTCGTAGCTGAAAGACCCTTTGTGTCATGATTGCTAAATTCTGCTGTGATCCTTTGCTTTTCATGTACGGAGATAGCTCTCATTGTCTCTGAGACATCCAGTCCTCAAGAGAGGACACCAGGCCCAGAAAAAGTAATCTGAGAGGGGTGAGCTCAGAGAGGTCAGTCGGTTGCATTTTCCTCAACAGCATCGGGAGGTCCGTCTGAAGTGCCTGAAGGCTCTGAAAGGGCTGTACAGCAGCCGGGACTTGACCACCCGCCTGGAGCTCTTCACCAGCCGCTTCAAGGTACAGATGGGACGTCCCCCTAGGCTTGACTTTTTCCTGGGTCCCATTTCCTTGCTTTATCTTTCATTTCTATTGCTCTTAAATGTCTACACCTTTCCCAGCATCTGCTTCTACACTGTCTTTCAGAATCTCTCAAATTGTAATTCTCAAATTATGGGATGGACACAAAAAATTGAAAATGTTCTTCTTTCTGCAGGACCGGATGGTTTCCATGGTCATGGACCGAGAGTACGATGTGGCAGTGGAGGCCGTCAGGTTGCTAATACTTATCCATAAGTGAGTCCTGGGAAGCGGGGAGGCAAGCTTCTCAAACTTCCGCCTTTCCAGCATCAGACAGGCCATTCCAGATCCCTGTGCCCGCGCCTGTTGTACATTGGCTCTTCCTTATGTACAGGTTGAAATACAGAGGTCCTCCTGAGTTGCAGGATCTGCAGGGGAAAAATTTCCCTTCTTCTCTAACTCTCCATACTCCTCTGTCTTCCATTCTTCATTTAAACGTTTTTTGTGAGTTAATCCTCCTTGGTTTTGCCTCTTGTTTCTGGCCTTAGTTGTTCTAGAGACACATCCACACCCATCTGCCCTTTCTCCTTTTCTCTTGGCAGGAACATGGAAGGGGTGCTGACAGATGCAGACTGTGAGAGCATCTACCCCGTCGTGTATGCCTCCAACCGAGCGCTGGCCTCTGCTGCAGGGGAGTTTCTCTACTGGAAGTGAGTGGGCTCCTCTCCTTCATTCATGCATTTGTTCCTTAAACACCATCCCTGGTGTTTGCTCTCCCCGCTCTGCTGCTGCTCTTCTTGAGACCCCTCCAGCCCTATACCTAGTGAGGCTCTCTTGGTGTCACCCTTCCCCCTCCACTGCTTGGGGCTTTCCTCTGCTCCGCGCCTCATTCCCTTCTAGCTATCCTTAGACTGTTTCTCCCCTCCCTGGTGATTATTCCACTCCTCCTCTCTTCCCATGCTGTGTCCTTTCCCTCTGACCATCCCTCCCTGCCAGGCTCTTCTACCCTGAGTGTGAGACCAAAATGACCAAAACAGGGGGAAAAGAGCAACGCCGAAGTCCCTGTGCCCAGAGGACTTTCTTCCACCTTCTGCTGTCCTTCTTCATGGAAAGTAAGGTGATGTATGGAAAGGAGCTCTTTGTCTTTGTGCATAACCCTGCAGGTGGAGGATGGAGCTGGTGAGATTGGAGGGGACATGCAGTTTAGTCAGGAGCTGCTTTTAGGTGAAGTTTTGTAATGTGGCATCACAAACTTACTGAGTACCTTACCCATAGCTCCATGACCATGCTACTTACTTGGTAGACAGCCTGTGGGACTGCGCAGGGTCTCAGCTGAAGAACTGGGAGAGCCTAACAAGCCTGCTGCTGGAGAAGGACCAGAGTACGTACCGTGTGGAAGCCAGCGCAGGGGACATGACCTTCTAGTAGGAGACCAGGAGAGATTCTTCCCTGGCTTGTAAAAGGCTTTGGTGTCAGGGAAGTGGGGGCAGGAGGGGGACTTGGAGGTGGAGGATGGCTAATCTGTGATCCTGTGTCTTTCATCCTCCTGCCATCCCAGACCTGGGCGACATGCAGGAGAGCACACTGATAGAAATCCTTGTGTCGAGTGTCCGGCAAGCTTCAGAGGGTCACCCGCCTGTGGGGCGGGTCACTGGGAGGAAGGTATAGCATGAGGGGTGGGTGGGTTGGTTAGCAGTGTTATATCCAGGTGGTACTGTCCATCCTTACCTTCCAGTCTTGGGCTAGGGTACCCTTTCCTCTGCCCCTCAAAGAATTCCATTTCCAGAAAAAAATTATGAAAGGCACTGCTGAATTCGGTTTTCCTTCCTGAGCAGATAAGATGGTGGGGAGAAAGTGTACATGCACACACCACCTGGACCCAGTGTTTCCACACCTTTCCCACCATCCCAATTGACTAATTCCAGGGCTTAACCCTGAAAGAACGGAAGATCCAAGCCAATGATAAGGTGAAGCTGACCGAGCACCTCATCCCTCTGCTCCCCCAGCTCCTAGCCAAGGTAGAACTGCCCCAGTGCCCAGCGTCTGGGGACGGGCAGGTTGAAGGAAACGGCTTCTGATGGGGAGTGGGATAGGAGCTAGGTAGGTATCAGCTGAGGAGTCTCCCTTGTCAATCCGCACAGTTCTCAGCTGATGCAGAGAAGGTCGCCCCCCTGCTCCAGCTCCTCAACTACTTTGACCTCAACATTTACTGCATCGGGCGCTTGGAGAAGGTGAGTGGGAGGAAGACAGAGTCTCCACACCAGCTGCTTCTCTGGTTGTGTCAATGGCTATACTGCCAGTTCTGGTTCTTCTCAACAACGTGGGTTCCAGAAAAATTCTGAAAAATGCCCCTTCTTAGACATCTTGTCCTTGAAGTCTAATGTTTCCAACCCTGTCTTCTTGCCCTGGGTTATATTCCTCTCCAGAAGAGTATCCTCCCTGCCTCCCCACCACAAGTCTTCTCCTTTTCTCTCAGCACCTGGAGCTGTTCTTGCAGCAGCTCCAGGAGGTGGTGGTAAAGCATGCAGAGCCAACAGTGCTCGAGGCTGGTGCTCATGCCCTCTATCTGCTCTGTAATCCTGAGTTCACCTTCTTCAGCCGGGTGGACTTTGCCCGCAGCCAGCTGGTGGATCTGCTGGCTGACCGCTTCCAGCAAGAACTTGAAGAACTGCTGCAGGTAGGAACTAGGCCTGAACCCTGGGGCCCCCAAGTGGGAGAGTGCCCCAGGACGGGAATGGGGATCTGTGCATTCTCCAGAAAACCCGACTGTAACCTTTTCTCCTCAGTCATCCTTCCTAGATGAGGATGAGGTGTACTGTCTGGCAGCCACTCTGAAGCGCCTCTCCGCTTTCTACAAGTGAGCAGCTCACCTCCTGCCCCCTCCCCCATTTCTGCTGGTGTCTGTGGAGGTGACTGCTCCTGTTTTGTTCACATAATATCCCCCCACCCCCATCCCAGTGCTCATGACTTAACCCACTGGAAGCTCTACGAGCCATGCTACCAACTCCTCCAGAGGGCTGTGGACACAGGAGAGATTCCTCGCCAGGCAAGTAGCCAAGAAGTTGGTGATACGGAGTTGGAGAGGAGTGTTAAGGGCCCTGTGTCCCAGGCAGCCAACTCTTCTGGGCAGTTCTGGTCCCAAGATCTGGAGTAGACATGAGGGAGAAAGAACACGTGTGTGTCATTTGTTCTTGTCCACCCTCAGAAGGTGACCTGTACTTCCAGTGCCTGCAAATGGCCATCCTTTCTGGCATCCAGAGAGTCAAGGATAACAGTGTGGGCTTCTAAGGGTACTTCAGCTAAACCCAGGAGAAGTGGCTTCTCTACCCAGTATAGAACCTTCCAAAGACTATCCGCAGTCAATTCTTTCCACCAGAAAAGGAATCGGGTCTCCCTGACCTCATTTTGTCTTCACTGCTTTTGCCTTTCTCCACTGCTCTGCATGTATCTGCCTGTCTATGTCCCTCCCTCCCTCTCCTTCCCTGCCTGCCCCTCACTGTCCTGACCACCCCTCATTTTGGTAACACTTCATCATTGCAGGTGGTCCTGCCAGCCTTGAGTCTCATCTATGTTTCCATTCTCTGGACACTAACCCACCTTTCTGGATCAGGTGCTTCCCAGGTAAACATGGGCTGGAGTTGGGATGGAAATGGAGGAGCCTGTATCTCCGTTCCTCCCCCTTAAGCCACTGTCTCCACAGAAGCAGCTGTTGAGTTTGAAGGGCAGAATGGTGGCCTTCTGCAAGCTCTGCCAGAGCTGCCTCTCAGACATGGATCCGGAGATCCAGGAGCAGGTGAGCATTTACTCAGTGGGGCCGAGGAGGCAAGTCTCCCCTGTGGTCTGAGGAAACCCTGTTCTAAGGAGAAAATCACTGTGTAATTTCTATATTGGTCAACGTTCTGTGCTTTGTAAGCATTCTTTTTTTTCCCCCAACAGGCTTTTGTCTTATTAAGTGATCTACTTCTCATCTTCAGCCCTCAGATGATTGTAGGGGGACGTGATTTCCTTAGGCCCCTTGTCTTTTTTCCTGAAGCCACTCTCCAGTCTGAGCTAGCCAGCTTCCTCATGGACCATGTCTTCATCCAGCCTGGAGAACTGGGCAGTGGTACAGGGACTCTATACCTGGGGCTTGGGAAGGGACTGGGGTTTGGGAATACAGGGCAGGAGGCCTAATCTGTGATTGTGATGTTCACGTTCTGCATTTAATGTGAACCAGGTCATTCCCAGGAGGACCACCTACAGATAGAGCAGCTGCACCAGCGGCGCCGCCTCCTGGCTGGGTTCTGCAAGCTGTTGCTTTATGGGGTGCTGGAGATGGATGCCGCCTCAGATGTCTTCAAGCACTACAGCAGGGTACTGTGAAGAACCAAGCCAAGTGTGGTGTGACTTGAGTAGTACAGCGCCACCAAAGGGAGAGTTGGGTGGTGGCATTGGGTTAAAGGAGAAGTAGAAGGGAAAAGCAGTAGGGGGTTAGAATAAAGGGACAAGGGAAAGAGACTCAATAACAAGTAATTATGGAGAAAAAGCTTTTAGGAGAAAGAAACTCAGTGGAGAGGAAATGTCTTACTCTTCTTAAAGATACCTGGATGTTCCTCTTCCCACCATTGTATTGATTTCACTTTACTGAGCACCTACAGTGTGCTAAGCACCCTTTGGGCACAAGGACATAGCAGTGAACAACAGATGAATGTTCCTGCTTCGTCAGGGGAGACATAGCAATGGCTTCGGTTCTGGAAGAGAGTGAGCACTGGCAGGCTTAGGACTCTTCTCCAAGAGATGGGCACAAGGCACTTTGTTCCTTCTTTATTTGCCTAAGCTCTGCTATCTTGGGCTTTGCACCTATTGGCCAGCAATGAGGTCTAGTCTCAGTTTTATGCATAGGTTCCTGTTTCCCTCCCTACAGCACTTTTGGAAAGAGGCATGATCAGGCATGTAAAGGAAGAAACAAAGAGGAAACAGCCTTTTCCTGTGCTCAAACATCTCTTCTCCATTTCCTCTCTCAGTTCTACAGTGACTATGGTGATATTATCAAGGAAACGTTAACTAGAGCAAGGCAGATTGACCGGAGTCAGTGTTCCCAGATCCTGTTGCTGAGCCTCAAGCAGGTACACCTTCTGCCTTGAGGGCCTCAAGCCTGTGACTTGCCTTCCCTGCAGTCACGCTCTTATCCAACCCCAGCTATATCAGATGTGGGATCTTACGAGCTGGAACTTTCTAATTTATTTTGACTCTTAACATTATATGACGATCTCCCCCATGACTGTAGACCAGTAGAAAGTATTAACTGACCAGGCAGTTTCCACCCCAACTGCATAGAAATTCAACTGTTGTTTAGGACATCAGAGCACCACCAACAATTCTTGATATTTTTCCAGTCCATTCCCTCTCAGCCCCTTCAGTTACCACAGACATTTTTATTTATTGTTGCAGAGCAGAGATGAAGTCTCTCTGCTGTAGCAGGTCAGGGGTAGGGATGGTGTCCTGGGAGGAAAATAAAAGTAGCAGATTGTGTCTCTAGCTCTTTGGGATTTCTGGGCAGAGACGGGAATGCTTTACTTCTTCATTTCCACTGTTCCTCCTTCCCCAATGCACCATGTCTCTTGGGCACAGTTGTACACAGAACTGCTGCAGGAACAGGGGCCCGAGGGCCTGAATGAGCTCCCGGCCTTTACTGAAATGAGGGACCTGGCCCGGAGGTTTGCCTTGAGCTTTGGACCCCAACAGCTACAGAACCGTGACCTTGTAGTCAAGCTACACAAGTAAGGAAGTATTGGTTGGAAGTCCGGTACTTGAATGTTTGTTAGAAGGCTGAGCCAGGCTGTGTACAGCGAGGCTGGGAGTGAGGTCTTGGAGGGTAGCAGGCAGGTTGGGGGGCTGTTTTACTCTAGGAAACAAGCTTGGGGACAGGGTGAGCTAAGAGTGGATGTGCAGCTCTGGGAGAGAAGAGGGAAGGGACTGTCCTTCTAAAATAACTCTGTTCAACCAAGGGAAGGCATCAAGTTCTCCTTGTCTGAGCCTCCTCCAGCTGGCTCCTCCAGTCAGCCCCCACATCTAGCCTTCCTGGAGCTCCTTTCAGAATTTTCCCCTCGACTCTTCCATCAAGACAAGCAGCTGCTGTAAGTTGGTGGGTAGGAGGCTAAGATGTGGATTAGGGGAAAGGGGCACGGGAGGGCACAGGGGGCCAGCTAAGCCTCTTCATTCCACCCCTTCCTTAGACTCTCCTACCTGGAAAAGTATCTGCAGCATTTCTCCCAGGCACCTGGCCAGCCCTGGGGTCCTGTCACCATCTACTGCCACTCCCTCAGCCCTGTGGAGAGCATGGCAGAGGCCAGCCCTAGGGGCTACCTCCGCCCCAAGAGGAGGCGCCTGGAAGGTAAAGTGCCCTGTGTGGCCTGCATCTGGCCTCCGGGTCTCACACGGCTTCCCTGATGGCTGCTGTATGGTCCCCAGGTAGAAGTGTATGGTCTTTTGCCTCCTTCATACTTTCCTTTGGTCAAAAAATATTTCGCTGAGCATCTACAATTAAGGGTACTCATTTTCTTTAGGGTTTATCTAGCCAACTAAAAATAGCAAACCTCTATAAAAAAACAGATAGAAACAAATTATAAAACCAAAGACTGACTAAGAGATCTGTACATTTAGGGTGCCTTCCCTTGACACCTTGTATTGTTACCCAGATTTTAAAGATTTTTACACAGCCTTCATGATATTTTTGCCTTCCAATCACTACCTGTCTTACAACCTACCTAAGGATTTTTAAGTTCTTTTTTTAAATATGATCTCATCTTAGATGATAATATCCTAGAAATCACAAGTTTGACATGTTAGATGTTTTTCCTTGTGTACATTAAAACATTAGCAGTCAGTGCCATTTTCCCCTTCCCTAGCTATAGACAGTATCACTAATCTGCTTCCTGTGTCTGGATTTGCCTATTCTAGACACTGCATATAAATGAAATCATACAATATGTGGCCTTGTGTGTCTGACGTCCTTCACTTAGCATGTTTTCAAGGTTTATCACACATCAGTACCTCATACCTTTTTTTTTGATATCATTAATATACAATTACTTGAACCAACATTATGGTTACTAGACTCCCCATATTATCAAGTTCCCCCCCACATACCCCATTACAGTCACTGTCCATCAGTGTAGTAAGATGCTATAGAATCATTACTTGTCTTATCTGTATATACTGCCTTCCCCATGCCCCCAACCCCCTACATTATGTGTGTTAATCGTAAAGCCCCATTTTCTCCCTTATCCCTCCCTTCTCACCCATCCTTCCAAGTCCCTTTCCCTTTGGTAACTGTCAGTCCATTCTTGGGTTCTGTGAGTCTGCTATTTTGTTCCTTCAGTTTTTTCTTTGTTTTTATACTCCACAGATGAGTGAAATCATTTGATCCTTGTCTTTCTCTACCTGGCTTATTTCACTGAGCATAATACCCTCTAGCTCCATCCATGTTGTTGCAAATGGTAGGATTTGTTTTCTTCTTATGGCTGAATAATATTCCATTATGCATATATTCCACATCTGCTTTATCCATTCATCTACTGATGGACACTTAGGTTGCTTCCATTTCTTGGCTATTGTAAATAGTGCTGTGATAAACATAGGAGTGCATATGTCTTTTTCAAACTAGGCTGCTGCATTCTTAGGGTAAATTCCTAAGAATGGAATTCCTGGTCAAATGGTATTTCTATTTTGAGTTTTTTGAGGAACCTCCATACTGCTTTCCACAACCTCATACCATTTTTATGGTCAAATAATATTCCATTGTATAGCAATACCACATTTATCCATTCCAACTAGTATCCAAATGTTTTAACTTTTGACAGAACTCCACTTTTGACATAACTTTTGACTGTTATACATAATATAGCTATAGACATTCATGTACAGGTTTTGTGTGGACATGTGTTGTCAGTTCTCTTGAGATAAACCCTAGAGTAAAATTGCTGGACATATGTTAACTCTATGTTTAACTTCCTGAGGAACTACCAAACATTTCCAAAATGTCCACATTATTTTACAATCCCAGAGCAATTTATGAGAGTCCCAGTCTCTCTCTCCACATTCTTACCAACACTTGTTATTGTCTGTCTTTTTTATTTTAGCTATTGCCTGTCTTTTTTATTTTAGCCATATTCCAATGGCTATGAGTTCATATCTAATTGTGGTTTAAATTTGCTTTTCCCTAATAACTAATGATGTTGAGCATTTTTTCACATGCTTATTGACCATTTGTATATCTTCTTTGGAGAAATGTCTCTTGAAATCCTGGGCTCCTTTTCAAATAGGGTTGTTGTCTTTTTATTGTTAAGTTGTAAGAGTTCTTACATATTCTGGATAGGAATTGCTTATGAGATATACAGAAATTTTCTACCATTCTATGGGTTGTCTTTTTCTTGATGGTGTCTTTTGAAACCAAAAGTTCTTAATTTTGATGAAATACAACTTACCTGGTTTTTCTTTTGTTGTTTGTACCTGGTATCATTTCTTAAGAAACCATTGCCTAATTCAAGGTCATGAAGATTGCCCAACTGTGTTTTCTTTAAGAGTTTTCTAGTTTTAGCTCTTCTATTTAGGTCTGTGATCCATTCTGAGTTCATTTTTATATATGGTGTGAGGTAGAGTGTGACTTCTTTTCAGTCTTCTGTGTACTGCCTAAAATTATCCCTATGCCACCAGGAAATTCTGCTTTTAATCAGTTAACTAATGAGTACTTGTCAAGGACCTGCTATATGCAGGATTCTGTGTTAAGTGCTTTAGAGAACACAAAGGATCCTCAAGCAGCTTACCATCTAATGGGGGAGAGAGAAAATATATCCATAGGAAATCTGAATTACGAACAGTCACCATTAAATGACAATATCCAGAAGGTCTGGGAATCAACATACAAATGCTATAGAGTTGAGGAAAGGAAGACTTCACTTTATGTGATAAGTGAAAGCTTTACCAAGAAGGTGGAGGTTAAGCTGGAGCTTAAAAAAATGGGTAAAATTTATAAAAGCTGAACAGAGGAAGAATGAGTATCATGGGCTAAAAGAGTGGCACAAGCAAAACAGAAGAAGGTGTGCGTTTGTGGAAACTCATAGATGTATAGACTGGTTGGCCTAAAACAGGGTTAGTAAGGTGGCATAAAGGTGGAAAGACTGGTTCCATTGTTCATTCAGCAGACGTGTATTGAGCTCTGTGTACTGAGAATACAGCAGTGAACAAAAACAGACAAATGCCTCTTTAGAGAGTGTCAGGTGGTGCTATGTGCTGTTGCAGAAAAGCATGGAAGAGGATGAGGAAACACTGGCAAGGTGGGGATTGCAGCCTTTTGTAGAGTGACCAGAGGGAAGCCTCACCGAGAATGTGAGTGTTGGGCAAAGCCCTGGAGGAAGTGAGGGGAGCAGTCTTGGTGTGTATAGAAGAGCATACAGAGGGGCAGCCAGTCCAGTGGCTGGCTGGGTGGGGGTGAGCCTGGCACATTCAAGGAACAGCAAAGACTCAGGCCAAACAGAGACTAAGATATGAGAGTGAAGAGATGGCAGGACCACAGAACATCTGAGGCTGAGTAAAGACTGGCTTTAACTCAGAATTGGGGAGACATTGAAGGATTTGAGAAGAGGCATGACAGGATCTGCCTTATGTTTTCACAGGGGCTCTCTGGTTGCTGTATAGAGACCTGGCTGTAGAGGGGCCGGGGTAGATGTACAGGACCCCATGAGGAGGCTGGTGTGGGTGTCAGGACAAGAGGTGGGTAGACAGGGCCATGGCTGAGAGGCAGAAGCTGCCGGACTCTGTTCTATTTATTTCCCAGGTCTCACTATGGGACTCCCTGACGCACTGGGTATGGGATATAGGACAGAGGACTTGGGGATGGCTCCAAGGTTTTGGCCTAGCAGCTGGAAAGATGGAGCTGTCAGATGAGATGGGGAAGGGGGTGAGTGGGAAGATCCCGACTTTGGTATTTGTCATGTTATTCAGGAGCAGGTGTTGGACAGACAGCCGGGCAGCAGCATCTGAAGGTCAGGGGAGAGGCAAAAGCTTTAGATAAATCTGGGGGCCTTTAAAGGTTTGAAACTGAATGGCTGTGGAAGCCAGTGAGGATGGAAAAGAGAGGCTGAAGGGCTGTGTCTGTGAGCATCACTCCATCTGTAGGTTGGGGACATTAGGAGGATCCACGTGGGCCCAGTGTTCTTCTCTGGGGAGACATGCTCATGGGTGAGGCTCTTTCCTGGTTTCTGTAGCCTCCCTTAAACCAGCAGCAGCCCCCTTTCTGGCTACACAGCTGTGGGGAGGGAAGTGATAGGGTGTGAATGTTCACAGTTGATAAATATTAACATCGGTTCATCTCTTTTCTGAGACATCTGGACTTCTTTCGCCTTTGGCTGCTCGGGTCTCTGAGGAGAGAGTTGAACATTTTGAACCCCAGGCCCTCCACTTACCTGCACAGCAGAGCTACGCTGGCATTGTGGTCATCTCGCATTTTCTGGCTTTTAGAAAATCCAGCCTCCCATTCCTGTGTTCTTCTGTACCCTCATGCTTCCACCCTGGCTTTGGGTCCCAAAATGCTGTTGCCCTCTAGGCCTGTTCTCCACAGAAATCTTGAATGTGCACATTGATTAACGGAGGCCTCTCCTCTAGGGCCCACCTCTGAATCACATCCAGTGTTGATACATCACTGTTTACATCTTCAAAATGGATACTTACCTCTCTTTCCATCTTGTTTTCTCAGCTGTATAGTAAGTTTTTCTTGGACAAGTCCTGAATAGAGTTCCAGAAGCCTTATTTTGTAGTGCATATGGCTATGCTCAGATTTTAGTCATAACATAATGAAGCCATATGGGTTTCCCATTCCCTCCTTCCTAACTTCCCTGAAGCAAATCCTGGGCAGGTCCTGAGAAGCTTCTGTGGCAGTACCTGGTCTTCAGTTAATGCTTCTGCTGCTTTGCAGGCCCCGCCAGGCAGCACAGAGAGGATGTCTCTTCATCCCAGGAGGAAAGCCTACAGCTGAACAGTATCCCTGCCACCCCGCCCCTCACATCCACGGCTGTGAAGAGCAGGCAGCCCCTGGGGGGGTTGGACAAGATGGAAGAAGAAGGCGCCTCAGAACTGCAGTTTACCCAAGGGTGAGGCGGGAGCATCAGGGGCTGGCAACCGAGTGGGTGTCTTACTGTTCCCTCCTGCAGCATCATTCATTCTTGGGTTCCTCTCCAGTCCTTTACCTTTTTTTTAGCTTTAAATTTTTATTTTTCCCTGAGCTCTGAACTTTTCTGCCCTTTAACACGGCCACTCTATCCCCTCTTTTTACTGTTTACTTTTATCCCGTATCACTAATCCGACTTTATACCCAACAGCCATCCCCTGTCAGGCACCCAGAGGTCAAGGTTCTCGGGCCCACAGCATTTCTGGACTCCATGCAACCCTCTAGGTCCTGGTTTGGGCAACCAGCTGAACCGGTAAGCTTTTCTCATCATCTTCTGTCTTCATTTCAAACCTGTCACCCACTGTGAGGGTTTTTTTCCCTGTTGCCAGTGCTTCCATACCAGTGTTTTCTGGACTTGTTTGAACCACAGACCACCTTCCAGGATAGTGTGGAACCTAGGGTGTAAAACTGATGGAAGTAGCCCAGCTCTGATTGGAGCAGGCATGGGAGCTGAGAGCCCTGCTCCCCTCACCTCCCACCTCTTCTCCCTGGGAGCCTCTGAGAAACCTTCAGGGGCTTAAAAAACAACCTGAAAGCTTCTGCTCTTTGCTGTTGCCATCAGACTCAGCCTTATGGAAGAGGACGAAGAAGAACTAGACATTCAGAATGAGTTAAGTGGAGAATGGCAGGATATGGACAAGGTGAGTGGACCCAAGCTTCCCTTGCCCTCCAGAACTGGAGGCAGACATGTGAAGGAAAGGAGAGGGACTCTCCTGTCAGGCCTCCTGTGCTCTTGTCCCAGAGCTGCTTAGGACTTCTGGGAAGAGTAACAGTAAAGGAGGGAGGTTTGCAAGTTGCTTTGCACTTTGCTTGCACTTTTATTACAGAAACAGGAAAGATTCAAAATACCAAGAGGGCTGGACTGACACTCCATCTGTCTCCCCAAATAAGTACTTTGCCTCCAAATCTAAGAACTGAAAGTTGTCGGGAGGAGACTGGAAGGCCACCCAGTGCAGCCTGGCCCTGGGTTCAGTCCTCCCCTGCCCTCCTCCCTCCTTCCTGGCACCTGCTGTTCCCCACACTCGCAGCCGCCACTTCTCTAGGACCAGGAGCTCAGACCCTCACCTGCACAGGAGCTTTAGGTGCCTTAGAAATGAGGCAGTCTCACATCTGCTGCAGCTGCTCCTCTGCTCCTTCTCTGCTCCCTCTCTGCTCCCTCTCTGCTCTATAAGGAGGGTTGGAGGATGGACAGAGAAACGTATTGTGCTCAGGAAGAATGAACAACAGTGTCCTCAGATGGACACCAGAGAGCCAGGCCTCTACTGAAACAGTCTTTGCTAAAGTCCCAGCCATAGAAGTCCCAGCTCTGGCTCCACAGCTGAACACAGGCTAGGAGACACTTCTTTTATGAGCCCAGGGAAGCTGAGGCCTGACCCTTCACCCTGCCCCACCTTTGCTAGTCTCTGCATGCCAACTGCGGCAGGGCCCCACCATGGCCCTCAATGCTTGTTCTTGTGAGACTGGAAAGGGCCCTTTGCTGCTGTCCACCAGTGATGGGGGTGAAGGACCCTCTGACTTTGGACCCCATTCTCTCTAGGACTCTTCCCCCAGTGAGCACAGGCTGGACCTCTTAGATTCTAGAGAGCTAAACATCGAGGTGAGTGTCCCCAAAACACTACAAAAGGTGTCCTAAGAGGAGTCAGGTGTCTTTGGGAGAGGCTGGTAGGTGACCCATGCACCTGTCAAGTAGGTGGAGAGAGGCTGCAGCCATCGCCTGCCCTCTCAGCTGTCCTGGAGCTTCAGGCGTGACCCTGTGGAAGGTGGGAAAACTGTAGGTTTGTTGTTTGGGGACCTGGCAGTTGTCTCTTTGCCCTTCAGTCTGTGCTGGTGTAAATGTTTCCGTCCATGTCTCCCATTACAGGATCTCTGACATGACTCTATCCTCCCCTTCTCCACTCCCCACCTCAACGACATGACCATTTGGAAAAGGCAAACAGGACAACAAGCAAAGTAACCATTATGTCCAGCACCATCCTTACCTGCTGGGTCTCTAAGGGGGAGGAAAGGGGGGCTGTGCCTTTCTACGAACCTTTCTCTGATGATTTGGGGTAGAGAGGTCTTAAGCCCCATCCTCCTGAATGTACCCCAGCTCTGCCCTTGGTGTGGAGCAGGTACCTTTCTCTTGCCCTGTTTGGGGTAAGGCATAGCCTCAGCCTTGGAGAAGGGCCATGTTGAATGGAAAGAGCCCAGTCGTCTTCTTGTGTTTTTGGAACATCTGTCCTAGCCTTTCTAGAGAATAGCTCAATAAATACGTTTGAATCGGCTGCTTCTCAGGCTGGTAGAGGTCAGGTTCTTTGGTGGTATTTTAAGCAGCCCTGCCTGACCCAGGGTCCCAGAATACCATGCACTACATCCCCCCAGGTGCTTTATATACTGGCTCTCATGGCTGTGCTGCGTGGAAATGTGAGGGCAGGCAGAGGCATCAGGGAGACCGCCTGCCTTTGAGTAGTTTCTCTGGGGAGGCCGAGAGGGAAAGCAGTACCCTGATGGGCTGGAGGGTGGGCTGCCCATCTTTCCTACACTGAGCCTGGCCAGTCCACACAGCTCAGCAGCCTTTACCCAACGGTTCCTTCCAGGGGTAATTTCATGCTCTTATGCCAGAGACACCTGACATAATTTGAAATTTCATGGAATCTCAATATCTGAGAGTTAGAAGGAACCTTAGAAGTTGCTGTAAATGTCCAACTCCAGAATCCTAGCCCTTGGCAGCGCCTTTTCCTTCATCCTTGCCTTCCCCAGCTAGCTCTTCACCAAGTCCTGTCACTCTCCAAAATAGATCTCTGATCTCTCTCATTGTCTCCTCATCTCTCACCTAGATTGCCACAAAATAGCCCCCTTGAAACATGTCTGCTCTTCTCCTGGGAGGAGCCCACACCTCTGCTCTCTGCAGCCACACACAGGAAGGCACTTGTTCCTTTCTACTTTGTTTAAGGAACCCTTCAGCCTCTCCTTTTAGATATGATTTCTGTCCTCCCTGTCCTGGGCATCTGCTGTAATTTCAGGTTCTCACTGGCCTCCCAGCCTATATGCAGCCACCCAGCTAGTGTCTGTGTGGAAGGAGCCATGACTTTGTGCCATCAGGTCATGCAGCCAAACCCATTTCTCCTGCCTTTCTTTGGAAAGGTGCCTCCCAGTTCCCAGGGGGCAGCTGGCCCATTCAGAGACCTGTAGCCTGTGTTCAGAGGGAACAGCTCAGGGAGAGGAGCTTTTTCTATGTGATCTGGCAACAGGGTGGGAAAACCGAGGGGAAGATACAAAGGTCACTAAGGATCCAGGAGGGGAAAGATTCCTGAGTAAACAGCAACCAAGCTGAGGGTGCATCACAAGATGAGAAACTTGAAAGCTCTGGAAATGTGATATTCATGCAGCCGGACAGCCCAGTGGTGGATTGAGTCCCAACCCTAAAATCTGCACAGTTCTGCCATGCTCCCAAAATTCTTTGATGCTTTTTATCGAGAGGGCAGGTCTAGGGCCTCTCCCCTTGCATATGGGCTCTGCGATTGCATTATTAGCAGAATGTGGCAGGGTGAGGCTGTGCCAGTTTCTGAGCCCAGACCTTAAAGAAACAACAGCTTCCACGTCCTGTTTCTTGGGATATTCACACCTGTAACCCAGCCACATGCTGTGAGACAAGGCCCCGGCGGCCCCATGGAAAGGCCACATGTGGGTGTCTGACCGACCGCTCTGAATGAGGTCCCAGCCTACATCTGGCACCAACCACCAGATGTGAATCAGATGAATCTAACACCCAGCTTTCAAGCTTTCCAGCTGAGGCCCCAGGCATCAGGAAGCAGAGACTATCTTTTCTGTGCCTTGTCCAAATCCCTGGCCCACATGACCCATGAGCATGAGGAAATGGTAGTGGTAACACTGCTATGTCGGGAGTGGTTTGCTATGTGGCACTAGAAACTGAAACAGAACCTGTGTCCTAAGTATGGGCTTCAACAGCTTAAATAAAACCTACGTATAAAAAGATTGACTATTTGTTCTGCTTATATGTATTAAAAATGTAATGAATGAGTTAATGATGAAATAAATTTTTAAATATTGGTTAACTACAAAATACTTTCCTCTAAAAAAATAGCACAAAGTGAGGAACATGTTTTAAATCATTGTTTAACATTTTCTGATGTTCTAGTTGGAAGTTCAATATATTTTGATAATTAGTTTTCATGACCTTCATAGCTGAGAAGGGTGCCTGTCAAAAACAAGTAAATCCAAATGGAATAGATGCTTCTTTGGCCGCATTTACTACTTTTTAAATAGATGAGCCAACACCCACTGAAGACTTGTAAACAAGTCAGAAAATGATTCCAAATAAGAGTGTTCTTAGAGGGGATACACAGTGTTTGGGTGTCCCCAAACCATGGCATGTAAATTGCAGTCCATCATAATAAGTTGTGGGTTTGCCTCTCTTAGGATGCTGATCTTACTAGAGGTGACCCATGACATCTGGATCCCAGTGAGGGCACCAATGTAACAGTTAACTTCGTTGTATTTTTATCTTAAAAGAGTAGAAATGTTTATCATTTCTCCTGCACGACAGCAGTGGATATTTTATGCACCACCTGAGACGCAAATACCCCGCCCACCTTTGACAGCCACAGCTTTGAAGAGCCACCTGCCATCAGAACAGCAGCTCCAGCTGGTCAGGTCCAGGCCAGGTTGGAACCGGAGCTGAGGCCAGCTTGGCAGGGGAGGTACGGGCCCCTGCTGGGAGGACCCGGCTTGATGAGTGACACTGCGTCTCAGGGGACTGCACTGCCTGTCAACTTACTGTTGAGAAATTGCTTTTAATTTTTTTTCAATAAGGCTTTTCTTTTTTAACCTTTGTGGCCATGAGCTCTGCCAAAAGGTGAGTTGTGGGTGTTCTCTCTTAAAAAGTGAAGTTTTTTTCCAAATATCTGAGGACTCTCCAGCTAATCTGTCCTTTGAGTTCAATACATACAGACTCGGGGGTCACAGGATGAAAGATTTGGTGCTCGGACAACATGAGGGGATGAAGTGGCCAGCCGGGGAAAGGTTTAGTTTGTAGCCTTCCTTGAGCTCTGTGGTTCCTTCCCTGGGGATAGGGTGGAACATTGCGATCCTTGAAAAGCACCACAACACAGGTCACTCCCGAATGCCTTCACTGAAATCCCTGTGTTGAGTTGGGCTGGTGCGGGAAACAGGCAGTTGAGTGTGTTCAGGAGGGAGCTGAGAAATGACAAGAATGGCAGACGGCATGGATACACCCCAGGAAAAGAGACCTCTAGTGGGCAGAGGAGCCCAGAACCCTGGGGAACCTTGAGGAAAATGCATTTAATTTGATTCAGCAGATGAAGCAGGGAGGGGACTGAGTGGAGCAGTAGGAGCTGAAAGAGAAAGACCCCCATGTCTGCCACAGCCTCTCATGAGGGCAGGAGGCACCCAGCCTGGGACCCAAGCCCCGGTTCTCCACTGATGGGCCTGGGGACTGCTGGTTTTTGACAAAAACTTTGTGCTTCAGCTACAGTTTTTTAACTGTATGGGAGAGGCAGCTCAGCATAGTCATTAATAGTGTGGGTTCTGGAGCTAAAATTGGTGTCAGACTACAAATCCTGGCTTCCCTATGTACTAGCCTTGCCACCTGGGCAAATTATTTCCTCTGAAGGTGATGTGAGGCATGGAGCTAATCTATGTGACTTTCTCAGAACACTTTATGATGTTTCACACACTCAGATGTTACCTCTTAATTATGTTATTGGATACAGGACAGTAGTGGCCATTTCACAACATTTAAAATATATGTAAAAATAAAATAAATTGAGCAGTTACAAGTCTCACTACAAACTCAGGTGGGGAATGTCTCTCATAAAGGGATGGTCAGCAGCGTTCAGCGAGCTGGAGCCAAGCATGAGCAGAGGGCCGTGCACATTCACTTACTTCATCCTGTCAATTAACTGTGAGACAGCAAGGTCCCTGATGGGATGTGGCTGCTGTAGGTGCCTAAGCTGCTTTGTCTAAGCTTGACGGCTGAGAGTGGCACCAGTTCAGACCCTCCGGGTCCCAATTCTGGAGACTGACCACAGGGCTGTTGTCCCTGCAGCATGACTTAAGCTGTGGCTGCAGGGATTCCACCAAGAAATGTCAGAGCAGGAGGTGGCTGTTAGCAGACCTGTGTCATCCAGCCTGTACTCTGGGCCAAAGAGGGAAGGTGCAGTGACGCAGGCCTGATAATACAGTGCTTCTGTTGCTAATTTTAATGACCTTTTGTGTCTTAGAGCTCAGAGTTCTAGAGACGGTTCAGGAATAGTTGACAAAGTTCTGAGAAATGGCAAGGGCCCTCACATCAGACATAAACGCATGCTACATAGGGCCATGTGATGTTGAAACAGGAATCAGCAAATAAATCAGTGGATAGACTAGGGAAGAGCATCCAGAAGTAGGCCCATTTGTAAGAATTTATAGTCAGGATGGCATTTTCCAACAGAAGGGAAAGAACCTATTCAAAAAGTGGTTCGGGGAGACTTCCAGATCAAGATGACTCTAGTGGGCAGAGGAGCCCAGAACCCTGGGGAACCTTGAGGAAAATGCATTTAATTTGATTCAGCAGATGAAGCAGGGAGGGGACTGAGTGGAGCAGTAGGAGCTGAAAGAGAAAGACCCCCATGTCTGCCACAGCCTCTCATGAGGGCAGGAGGCACCCAGCCTGGGACCCAAGCCCCGGTTCTCCACTGATGGGCCTGGGGACTGCTGGTTTTTGACAAAAACTTTGTGCTTCAGCTACAGTTTTTTAACTGTATGGGAGAGGCAGCTCAGCATAGTCATTAATAGTGTGGGTTCTGGAGCTAAAATTGGTGTCAGACTACAAATCCTGGCTTCCCTATGTACTAGCCTTGCCACCTGGGCAAATTATTTCCTCTGAAGGTGATGTGAGGCATGGAGCTAATCTATGTGACTTTCTCAGAACACTTTATGATGTTTCACACACTCAGATGTTACCTCTTAATTATGTTATTGGATACAGGACAGTAGTGGCCATTTCACAACATTTAAAATATATGTAAAAATAAAATAAATTGAGCAGTTACAAGTCTCACTACAAACTCAGGTGGGGAATGTCTCTCATAAAGGGATGGTCAGCAGCGTTCAGCGAGCTGGAGCCAAGCATGAGCAGAGGGCCGTGCACATTCACTTACTTCATCCTGTCAATTAACTGTGAGACAGCAAGGTCCCTGATGGGATGTGGCTGCTGTAGGTGCCTAAGCTGCTTTGTCTAAGCTTGACGGCTGAGAGTGGCACCAGTTCAGACCCTCCGGGTCCCAATTCTGGAGACTGACCACAGGGCTGTTGTCCCTGCAGCATGACTTAAGCTGTGGCTGCAGGGATTCCACCAAGAAATGTCAGAGCAGGAGGTGGCTGTTAGCAGACCTGTGTCATCCAGCCTGTACTCTGGGCCAAAGAGGGAAGGTGCAGTGACGCAGGCCTGATAATACAGTGCTTCTGTTGCTAATTTTAATGACCTTTTGTGTCTTAGAGCTCAGAGTTCTAGAGACGGTTCAGGAATAGTTGACAAAGTTCTGAGAAATGGCAAGGGCCCTCACATCAGACATAAACGCATGCTACATAGGGCCATGTGATGTTGAAACAGGAATCAGCAAATAAATCAGTGGATAGACTAGGGAAGAGCATCCAGAAGTAGGCCCATTTGTAAGAATTTATAGTCAGGATGGCATTTTCCAACAGAAGGGAAAGAACCTATTCAAAAAGTGGTTCGGGGAGACTTCCAGATCAAGATGACAGATGAGTAGGGCAGTGGTAATTTCCTCCCAAAGCCATACATATTTTTGAAAATACAACAAAAACAACTATTCCTATAAGAGAGACCAGAGGATACAGCACAACATCCAAGCTACATCTGCATCTGCGAGAGCTCTGCAACTCACGAAGAAGGTAAGATACAAAGCTGTTTGGTTATATCTATGTCACCAGGCCCTCTCTCTGGGGTTGTCCAAGTGATTTTTGACTGGACCAGATTCTTCTGCCTCTTCATAGTGATAGAAGTGGTTGCAGGCAGGTGGCACGTGTGTCAGCTGGGAGATCAAAGTCCCTTCCGACTTGTTGGTCACCTTGCCCTTCTCCACTGCCTATGGGGGGAGTGCTTTGGACCCGGCAGGATCCAAGCATTCCCCCCACCCCAGCTCACCAGCAGGAGGAAAGGAATCAGAGTGCGGAAGGAGTGGAAGCACAGAACTGCAAAATAACCAGCCCTAGTAATCTGCACTGGGAGCACAGACACACATTGCATGGTGTGCTGGATATTAGAGAAACAGAAGGGTAGGGTCCGAGATGGAGACTGGGAGCAGATCCCCACAGCCAGCCCCCCTGGGACAAAAGAAAAGCAGGTGCTTTTTAAAAGTCTTAAAGGGACAAGGGCTCAACAGCTGAACAAAATCGTCCCACCACACTCAGCCCAGCAGTCTGGGAATCTTGAGAAATTTCGGGTCCCCTAATCCCCTGGGGGGTAAACAGCCCCAAAGCCCCTCACGGCGATAAGCAGTCTGCAATTCGTTTCCCCTAGTCGGTGCTACAAGCAAACTGGCTCACCTGCCACAGCTGCGGAGCATCTAGAAAGTGGCCCCACCCACAGCAACCACACAGAGTCTCCTCCTAGTGCACAGCTAACCTGGAGAGGCAGTGGAAGCTGGAGCAAGGTCCAGAAGGCACGAAGGGGCGCCATTCTCACAGGAGAACACACCCAGTGCAGCTGCAACCCCCCCGCAGCACTCTAGGCTAGCCTGAGGGCAGACCTGCCCATGGCAGCTCAGGAGATTGTCCCAGAGTCTGTTCCTGAGGTGTGGGTAACCAGCACAGGCAGCAGAGAAGGGCAAGGTGACCAACAAGTAGGAAGGGACTTTGATCTCCCAGCTGACACACATGCCACCTGCCTGTGACCACTTATGTCACCATGAAGAGGCAGAAGAATCTGGTCCAGTC